CTGCCAAAATGGCATTATCTTGATCCAGGAGCCCCAGAGGGTTTGTCTAAGCTGCTAAGTGAACTGCTACAGCCAGGACTGTCCCATCCACCGAGGCTGTCAGTGTGAAAGGGCCAGTGGGTGTTAACAGCATCAACAAGGGCCCAGGGATCCACTGCAGCAAGTCAGACAGGCAGCTCTGTCCTGCCAACACTCCAGGCCCAGCTGCACCTCACACATGCATGGCACTAGCTCCTCAATGCAGATTTCAAATGGAAAACACTGGAAGGCAAAGTTTGAATGTCTTCTTGTTAATTTTTTGCAAGCAAATACAATTCTTTCAAAACTAGCAGTGCTGTTTAAAGTAGTGTGACACCTAACTTTGGAGAACAAGGTAAAACCAATACACATTTTAGAAAAATATTTACTTTGATTGAAATACTTTTAACCCTGGGAGTCCTAATTCAGAAAATAGCATATTGCTGCTCTTCTTCCTTTTGTCATGTGGTGGTCAAAACACTTCCTTCCTTTTTTTTTTTTAAAGATGACCGGTAAGGGGATCTTAACGCTTCGCTTGGTGTTGTCAGCACCACACTCAGCCAGTGAGCGAACTGACCATCCCTATACAGGATCCGAACCCATGGACTTGGTGTTAGCACTGCACTCTCCTGAATGAGCCACAGGCTGGCCCTAAAACACTTCCTTTCTTTCTGGAGGGCTTGGTACAGGGTTGCCTGGGTCTTATCCTCAACAAAACATTTTGTATTTGGTCTATCCAGAAAACAAAATTAGAAAATATTGACCATAATGTTGGGCCATAATGCAGACTCACTGCTCGGCTAAGAAAGCCTATGAACCTTGCTAGAGCCAGCTGGCCCCATGAGCCCTCAGCAGAATTCCAATCTGAGTGTGGACATGCAAGCAGAGATAGTGCATTTGTTTCTCTTTTAAAAATGTACAATTTATGGTAATGTTTTTCTTTACTGAGGTCTTATCTTGCTTGCACATTCTAGTGTACTTTTAAGGTAAGAATTGTCTGAAAGCTTTGCTTTAGACATAAAAATTTAAATTTAGTTCTAAAATTCCTTGAGGGAAAAATATATATTTTCAAAATCATTATTTTTTGAAATGAAGGTAAAAGTTGTTTCTGAAAGGTTTATTTACCAGTTTATATAGTTAATAAACTCATCTCTGAAGCCCTAAATACAGTGTCTTCAGATATTCAAATAAATGATTTTATTATTCTCTGTAAGCTTTCAGTTTGGAAAATTGGAGAAATTGCCTTTCTTTGATAAATTCAAATCTGGATAAATCCAAAATCAAGAGTATAGATGCTGTCACTATGCAAAAAGAATTTTATCTAAAATGTGGGAAAGTTGGTGTCTTAGTGATGATGTTCACTTGGTAAGAAAAACCATCAATATTACTATGTCAAATGCTGATTTTGAAATAACTTTAATGCAATGGATAATAATTGGAATACTAACTGCAATAAATTTAGCATCAAGCTAAGAAGAAATTTTTTTTTGTACTATTTTTACTGTTTGGAATCGTAAGTTGAAGTTGAAATTTCAAGAGATAAAGAAAATGGATAAAAGCAATACCAAGTATTGTAAACTTTAAGATGCAATGTTGATTATCATCAATAAAAAATTTTTTAATTTTTTTAAATAATTTTTTTTTTTTTTTTTTTTGGTGGCTGGTTGGTACAGGGACCTGAACCCTTGACCTTGGTCTTACAAGGCTGCATTCTAAGCAACTGAGCTAACTGGCCAGCCCAATAAGTTTTTTGGGGGGAAATATATTTTTTAATTGTCTGGCAGTGCTCATCCAGTTTTCACAGAGTAATCTACTGAAGATGTAGTTTAGGGAGACTGTATCAATGACTTAAGAGGACAGCATTTGTGGCCCAGGTTTCTTTAGCCTGTTCTTCTCTTTCCTACCACAAGGAGGTGCCATGAGAATCATCAGCTGCTGTGAAAGTTTGGCACTGGATGGTCTGCGGGACCCCAATGTCACCAAAGCTTAGTCAGGATGACTAGACTCGCAGGGTTGGCTCCTGATTCTCTAGGCCTTGGGGGACATCTTAATAGTCTTGTTTCTTAATCCTTCCCAGACTCAGAGCTCCCAGACACAAGTCGGAAGACGGCAAGGAGTGCGGAGGCAAAGGTGATCATACAGCTAGTTGAATTTTGTAGCCCACATGTCCAGGCAGTGTAGGCAGCAACAATGAAGACTTTTGAGTGGAAGGAGGAAGCAGGTTCCTGACAGTCCTTGGGAGAGGCTTGATCTGTTCTCTTGGGAGACTGAAAAAAATGGAGCTTTACCTCTGCCAGAGGATGCCAGAGGCAGGTCTGTGGCACTGCTGAGAGCTTCTTTTGGCCTCACAGACATCCTGGGCTGAGAGATAAGGACCAGGGCTCACTTTCTGCAGCTCCTAGAAATGCCAGCCAATTCTCTCCTTTCCCGTTTTCCTTGGCATTCTCCTGTAGGTTTTCCCTGGGATATTTCCTCAACGGGTGGGACAGTTTTTCTTTGTGATTATTTTCTTTCCCTCGCTTTACTATTTCACTTTTCCATGGAGGTCAGCCTCTTTTGGAATATAGTTGGATAGAAAGTGGAATACTGCATACAGTCCTGAAAAGCCCCATTCATACATCCCTCTTCTCTGGAAAGGGCATCTCAGAGACACACCCCAATTTCCTGAACACTGCCAATGGCTTGTCTCTGGCTTAAACGATCCCAAAGCAGCACCTCTGTGGCTAGTGTCACTGTGTCTATAGCTAGGGAAAGGCCCATAATGATTGCCAAAGGCTCTTGAGAGGAATCATTCCTCGTTGGTCCTGAGAGAAGACTAGAAGAGGAAGAGTCAGCAGTTCCCATCGGAGAGAAAACCTGACTCTCAGAGGGGTTTCACTGGCTACTCGGCCTCTGGCTGTACTCCACGCCAGCAACAAACTCAGAAATCCTGTATGAGAGAAAGACAGTCTTAGTAGGGATGTGGGAGGGGACAGTAAACAACAGGTGAGCCATCCTCTCTGGCTTGAGGGCAGGTGGCAATCCCAGAGGCTGGGCACTCCAAGGCTAGACACTCTCAGTAGACCCAGAGGCCACTAGTGAAGTGGGTGACCTCGGGCAGCTAAATGGCCTGCAGAATTCTCTGGATCCACATACAGGCTTCACACATTGTTTTGGCCATATGCACATCCATAGTTGTGTTCCTTTCTCAGTTCATTAAATCACTTTGTATTACCTTGTTTTGAAAGTTCTAGCAAGGTTGTTGAATTAGGAGTAGGCCAGGATGTGGGGAGGAGCAGTGGACTAGATGCTGACTTCCATATGGCAGGACTGCTGCAAAGGGGTGGGGGGCAGTGCAGGCCAGAGGAGACAGCATGGCAGCACTAATGATGTGGTACCCTCATGCAAGGGGTCAGCTGGCAAAGAGTTATGTTCTTTCAAACTAGATTTGGTAAAATTCCTCTCTTGATTAGCTTCAATAATTCTTTTTGAAGCAAAGTCTTCAGAAAAGGGACAGACAACCTATACTTACCATTTTTATCTCTATACAAGCATGGGAATGCTGGGCAAAGCTTCACTTTTATTCAGCTCAGAGACGAAGGGGAAGAAAAGGCATTCAACTTAAACTTTGGAGCTGTTAGTACAATGACAGTAATCCTGGTTTTCCTCCAAGGTCACCTGTGATGTCGTAAGAGCTCTATCATTATAAGTTACTCTTCTTTAGCTTGTACTCTGTTTAACTGTCCATGGATAGACCTTCTTCTCTTCTCAACCCCTTATTACTTGCCCCATTCTCCATGCACGTTAAACACTGTATAGGTTTATAAAGTGACAGCAATCTAGGAGGTCCTCTGACTCAGTGACCTCCCCACACCTACTTCCATCCCACTGTCTCCAAAGATAGCTCTGAGGAGCCACAGCTTGCGGCATCCATTCTTATGTCATCCCCTTCCATTGAACCTGGGCTGGCACTATGACTTGCTCTTGACCTATAGTCTGTGGTGAAATGACTCTCTGTCACTTCAGAGGTTATCTAGAAGAACCTTGTAGCTCTCACAATGCTAGCTCTGGGGGAAACCAGTTGTTTTGTAAGAAGTCTGACTGCCTTGAAACCTCCATGTTGTGAGGAAGCCCAACTTACCCATGTCGTGAGACTAGGAGTAGAGAGATGCTCAACATTCTCCAGCTGTTCCAATCACCTCAGTTGAGAAGCCAGGCACACAGTGAAGAAGCTATTATGGGCACACAGCCCAGTCAAGCATTCAGATATTTGCCAGCCTCAGCAGCCCCCCAACAACAACCATGAGACTCTTGAGAGAGAGAAGCCACCTAAGCCCAGTCAACCCACATAATCATGAGAAATAATAAATTTCTATTTAAACTACTATGTTTTGTGGTGCTCTATTATGTAGTAATAGATCATTAGAATGCGCACCACTGCAGGACAGGATGGCCATGAACATAGCACGGCTTTTTCCATTTCTATCTTTTGTCAGTCTCCTTGGCTTAAGTGTGAGAGAATGACTTTTCTTCTCTGCATATGAAATGTGGTATGAGAATGAAATCACTCCATTTAGAGTTGTGATTGGTGGAGAATTTTGAAAACACCCACATTGTTGAAACCACTCCTTGCCCTCCCCCGCTCAACTCCACTCCCGCCATGCCCTAGTGTACTTCCTGGACTTCACACCGCCTGCTGAACGTGCCCAATTCACTGGCTGGGGAAGTGCTTCAGCAGCAACACACATCCAGGGCAGACCTTTTTGAAGACAATGGCAGTAAGAGGAAGGGGCTGAGAATCAGTACCAGGTGGTGGGGACAGGGAAGGACACTTGGTCTTTCCCTCTCTCTTGGCACCAGCTTCCCCAAGGTCTCTTCTTAAGATACGATCAGGGTGTCTCCCTTTCCACTGCCATTTCCATTTTTTCAAGGTACTTTAATTTCCATCTCTATCCTGGAAAAGACAATGGAAAACCCATTTCCCCAAAGTTCAATGAGACATGTTTAGAGTTTTTCAAAAGGACATTTACTGAGAAACTAAAGGGAAACCAAACAGAATGCAAGAGAACAGAGGCAGAGTTGCAAATGGGCTGAGGGAATTCAGATTTATAACCAGCCTCTGGCCACAGCTGTACTGGCTCGGCAAAGCTTTCCAGACACAAAACCACCTGCCTGCCAATGGAGACAGTCCTCTTTGCCTGCTTTCCCCTACAAAACCGCCTTCTGTTTCCTGCCAACAAGCCAGTAGCATACTCATTGGCACTCAGGGCTGCTAGCTCTCTGGGCAGGAAGATCCTGAGGTGGGGAACAATAGGCACAGCTGCCTCAGGATCCCCAACCCAGCCTCCCATTGCCAAGGACACGTCAAAGTTTATTGGGATGACTGCCTGATGTCTATCGGAGCCCATCTGATTTCTCTGGGACCATTCTTTTGGGCTCATCTGCCTGGCTCTGGAGACAATATTTCTGCTAACTATTTTGCTGGCAATAGCCCCTCATGCTTTGGTTCCAAACACTGGTATTGTAGAGGATGTCTGAATGGGGCGGGATGCGCAGAGGGGAACGTTGGACAAAGAGTTGAATTTTTCTCATGTCATCAGACATAGGCAGAACCTTGGATTCCTTTTGAATCCCAGGAGTTGAAAGCCAATCAGAGATGGAAATGGATCAGGCAGGCTGGGGAATGTGTGAAGCTTGAGTGTAGTAACACTGCCTCACACAACCAAAGGCCTCTGCCCTTTTAAGATCTGATATCAGGGTAGAGTTTCTTCTTGTACTAGGCAGCTGTGGCAACAAGAACTTTCTGAAGACATGCAAGGATCTTGCTTTCAACCAGTTAGTTCCACATGGAAATGTTAATTGAAATGAAGATAATGAGCTTTCCAGGAAGGTAAACTACAATCCAACTCTGGATTCTGCTGCAAAGAGATTGTATGAAAAGGGAAATGCTACCTTGGAGAGTTGTGCAAATGTGTGGCTGGCAGAGAGAAGACCAGGAGGTGACAGTTCCTGGTCCTCCCAGGGATGCTGAGGCCTTTGGTTTCATTTCTATGGAGGCAGAAGCCATGAGGATGAGGTGAATAGCAGTGGGTTGGCAGACGTAGTCAGGAAGGAAGCTGAGTAATGAACGAGATACCCGGGAGAGACCTTGACCTTCACTCTTGCAGGCATATCCATTCCCCAAGGGCTTCAAAAGTGATATATGTGTCTGAAGTGAGAAGGAAACCTTTATCTGTGGCTGCCCAAAGCTATTACTCTGGGTTGTTGCATATGGAAATACCGCAGAAGGCACTGAGGCCAAGACCCAAAGCTGTGCCTTCTGCTCGGGATGGCTGTGCTATCTCTCCATGATCTCACCTCACACAATGCTACACCTATTTCTGAGGCTGTTCCCTCAGTGGACAAATGTGCTTGGGAAAGGAAATTCCAGAATGCTTATGCCATTATGATGTGCACCTCTCTAACAGAGATGACAATTACTTTTCATTCTTATAATAATAACACCACTTAGAAGAAAGTGGCTGCCGGCTACCTAGATAATAGTCTTGGGGTTTTTGACTTCTCAGAATCTGGTTTCAGCAGAAAAGAGGGCCATGATCAACTGGTACTCTCTGCCACGTGCATGGGAGGGGGCAGTGAATTTGCTATGAATTAGCCCTCCTTGCACTAGATTTTCTCCAGGGGAATGGCCTGCTTGTCCTATTATTCTCCTTGGGCTACTTCTGCAAATCTGGAGTACTTCTTGGGGTAAAATTACTTTTTGGAAACAGTCATTAACTCAAAAGTATTCAAGTGTGAATTGAGATCTGCTGCCTATTTAGCACCTGGATATATTTTTAAACATTCTGTCCTTCCAGGGCATTCAAGCAAATAACATCATGTCAGAGTGACTGTTGCCAGGGCTGTCTCCACCACCAGGGGCCTTATATTAGTCACTAAGAGTCCTGGTACTCTTGGTACTCTCACTACATCATTTGGTTTCTTCCACAGTGCAAGCTTGGTACTTGGCCACGAGAGATGTGCTTCTCCTGCATCACATCACCTTGGCCACCTGAAGAAGGTGGCTGGACCATTCAGGTTCACCAAACCCAATCTGGAAAGAGAGCCAGTTATTGCTGTGATTACAGCTGAGCATTTGGTCACTGGAGTTCTCCGGGTGTTGCTGGATGGGAAAAGTTACTCAAGATCTTTGTAAGATGGCTGTCCTATTGTGGCCTTGGCACGAACGGTCCTTACCCACAGTCATCGTTTCTGCAGGAAGAAGAAAAAATAAGAATAATTTGGTTTTCAATCATATATTTTTAATGCGTACCAAACAAGTGCTAGACACTGTGACAGATGCTGGAAATACAAAGGCCACGAGTAAGACACTCACCTGTGTTCAAAGGGCTCACAGAGGGAGAAATTACAATGTGAGAAGCTGAATAACAGGGATGTGCCTAAAATGCTGTAGGAGCAAAGAAGAAGAAGGGACTAACTTCAAGGGGATTGAGAGGATTCTGAAGGATGAGTCTTGAACCAGGCCGTTTAGACTGAAGAGGAGCCCATCAGGAGACGAGGGCAGGGAAGGCCATTTTGGGCAGAGGAAAGAGCCTGTGCAAAGGCACAAAGACAGGAAAGGGCATGATGCATTGTAGGAAACCAAGATTTTTATAAAATGAGGTGTGAGGAAAGATTTTTCTATAGTTCATTAAAGCACTGACCCAGTGGGATCTTGGTGGGGAGATGGGGTGGTGAGGACTGTGGCATCAACATGAGAGACAGCAATGGTGGTTTTAAGGGCGGATGGGCACAGTGCTGGCCTAGCTGGCTCCAGTGCTGGTGCCAAGCCCATTTCAGTGGGCAGAGCAGTAGTGTCTTTTTTCAGAACCAGTGGCCTCCCAGGCAGTACCACAGGTTTAGAAGGTACCAGGAAATTCTGTGGCATCAACAGGGAGTAATGGTTACAATCCTATCTGAACAGAGGGGATTTTAAGTGAATTCAATTGTCCTGAGACACAGGGATCTGATTTGAATTAAATTGAATTGAAACTAAAGATGAGAACCATCTCCATGAAAACCATAATGTGCAGTGACATTTCGATCACAAAAATGACAGCTGATGTGAGACAGGCCATTGAAACTGACCTGAAATTAAGAACATGAAAAGACTGAGTGGAGCATTAGATAACCTCTCTCTGTGAATTTGAAAATGGGTTTTGATTGCAGGAAGTACCTAAAGGCTCTGAACTAAGAAGCTTGTCAAAGATTGAAATGATTCTTATTACATGATTCAATCTCATGTACTTAATATTGTTAAACTTGTATTTTAAAATATTATTTAGAAAGCACTAAAATCTCGGGATTTTGTTGATTATTTATTGCTTAGCACAGCTCTGCAAATATATTAAGAAACTTTGTGCTCTGCCTGCTTAGATTCTGTTTAGCTTCTCCCTTTCTCCAAAGAGGGCATTCTTTTTTTTTTTTTTTATTCACTCCGCTGCTCCCCTTGAAGAAATGGTATGTTAAAGAAATAAAGCAGTGCGAATGTGACTACACTGCTGATCAGGAAATTGGGGCACTAATGTGGAAAATGGAAGTCCATTTGGATAATAACTACTATTTACTGAGCACGTAAGCTTACTGCTCTATCCTAAGAGCTTTGCATACCTTATCTCATTCAATCCCCACTTCAACTCTCTGTGATAAACATTACAGTAACAGTTTTACAAATGAGGGAACCTAGTCTGAGAAAGTCCAAATAATAAAGGTAGGAAATGGCAGAGCCAGAAACTGCCACCATGCCTTTAAGGATCCAAATGTCTGGTCTTAAGTCCTGTGTCCCAGATGGCAAAGCATCATGCTTTAAATGCCAACTCCACTACAGTGCCTTTCTACAATGGATTCCCAGTCCAGCAAAGAATTATGAATAGTCCAGACTTCGTAGAAAAGTGAGTTAAGATCCATTGTGAAGATGACCTCAAGGGGAAAGGTGGTATATGTTTGCATGTGTGACATGTCAACTGTAATTTGCCGAGAGTGGTTCATTAGAAATGACGAGAGGCAAGCCTGTAAGAGTAGTCAAATTTCTTCAGATGAGGGGGCAAGTTAGGGAATTACATAAGGCAAAAATTACTCTACATAATGAAAGTAAGTGGAGGAATTTATTATTCCAAATTTATATTCATTACATTTACTAATTCACTCAACAAACATTTATTGAGCACCAGGCACTTGTGCTGAGCACTAAGAACACAGAGACGAATGATGCATCCCCACACTCGAAGAGCTCACAGTGGCCATTAGATGAGTACAGAATCAAGGATGATGAGGAAGAAAAGAGAGTAAAATGAAGTGTTGGCAGGAAGCTCTGCCTGTAACTGCTGTGTGTGGGTGCGTGTGTGTAATTCCCTCTACCCAGATCAGGGAATGAAAAAGAAAAAAGTTATGATAAAAAATTGCATAAGTGTGAAAATTGAAAAATTCCTAGCATATACTAGGGTACTTCAAAAAGTCCGTGGGAAAATAGAATTAAAATACAATACAACTCTTCCTGTGAACTTTTTGAAGTACCCTCGTATATGATGCACTGGACTGTGAAACAAAATTCCATTAAAAAGGCCTGGGACTGTCTCCCACTGAAAGTACAGCAAGCAGAAGACAACCAGAAGAAGGGACTTGTTTTTTTTAATTCATAGCCTGGTAAAACTCTCCTGGGAGGCAACCCATACCCCATCCCTGTCTGCAATTTGGGACTGAAATCTGTGAATGGCCATCTGTAAGCTCTGTTGCTATAGAGGACCTGAACTGATAATTCTGTTCCTATTACAGTCATGCATTGCTTAAAGACAGGCATACTCTCTGAGAAATGCATCATTTGGTGATTTCATTGTTGTGTGAACATCACAGAATGTACTTACAAAAACCTAAATGGCACAGCCTACTATACACCTAGGCTATATATTACAGCCTACTGCTTGTATGTGAGTAATGCATTGCTCTATGACATTACAATGGCTATGATCCCACTATGTGACAGGACTTTTTCAGCTTCATTGTAATCTTATGGCACAACCATTGTATATGCATTCCACCGTCATTGCTTAAAACGGCATTATGCATCGCATGACTAAAATTGGAAAAGTAACTTTGCAACAACAGAAAGGTATAACAAATAAGAATTACAAATGATGAAATAAAGATGCTTTTGTGTATATTTATTCAAATGCAATATACATTTTGTTATCCCAATTCTGCTTTACTTATGCTTTATGTTTTTAAGATAATAATATAGTAGAAAATTATTAGATTTATGATCTTAATGGATATATTTAGGAGAACTTAACTGGTTAAATTTATAGTCTAAGTAGTCTAATTTATAAATGCTTAGGAAAATCCATTATACTAAATTTATAAGTTAATTTTTTTTTTTGTCTTTTTGTCTTTTTTCGTGTCCGGCAACGGATCGCAACCCTCAGTGTCGCGCCCGTACCGGACCGGGACCGGCAACGGGATCGCAACCCTCGGTGTTGCTCCCGCGCCTCGCTCAGCCAGTGAGCGGGAACCGGTCCTTATGTGGGATCCGAACCCTCGGGCGGGAGCGCTGCCGCGCTTCCCAAGCGGCGCACTTATCCAGTGCGCCACCGGGCCGGCCCAAGTTAATTTTTTAAATGTTGAAAGCTTAAGATAATTTAATATAAACGTGTAAGATTTTATTTATTAGCCCTATAGGAGTTAAGTACTTGAGGACAATTTGCTTAACAACTACTGTGTTAGATGTTTGAAATATTTGATATAATCACATTTAAAATTTGTGATTTTAGTTTGCAACATTAAAGGGAATTTAGCTAATCAATTGCTTAAATTGCACTTAACTATTTACAAGAACTTTATTTGCTAGATTTATAAGATTTTTTCTTTATTTTGAAATGTTTAAGAAAATTTAATTAAGTGTGGAATTTGTGTTTAGAAGTTTAGAAAAATTTAATCTGTCAAATTAATGAGCTAATTGAGAATTATACAAAGAATAAGTAAAAACAAATATTTTCATTTCAAAACAAAATGATTAAATTTATAATTTTAATAACAGTTAACATGATACAGCATTTGGTATGTACCGTTTTAGGAATATTACACACATTAATTAATTTACTCTTCACCACAACTCTCTGCGGTAAATACTATTATTATCCCCGTTTTACAGATGAGGGAAATTGAGGTATAGAAATATTAAATGACTGCTTTACCAAGTGTATTAGTTTCTTAGGGCTGCCGTAACAGAGTACCACAGACTGGATGGCTTAAAACAACAGAACTTTATTCTCTTATAGTTCTGGAGTCTAGACTTCTGAAATCAAGGTGTCAGCAGGGCCATGCTCCCTCTGACGGCTCTAGGGGAGAATCCTTCCTTGCCTCTTTCAGCTTCTCGTGGCTTCTGGCAATGCTTGGCTTATAGCTGCATCACTCCACTTCCTGTCTTCATTGTCACATGGCATTCTCCTTGTATGTCCCTCTGTGTCTTCATATGGTCTTCTTATAAGGACACGAGTCATTGGATTTAGGCCCTACCCTAATCCAGTATGACTCCATCTTAACTAAATATATCTGCAAGGACCTATTTCTAAATAAGATCACATTCTGAGGTACTGGGTAAGCATGAATTTTGGGGGGACACTATTCAACACAGCATCCTATGGCTACCAATATCCAGCACATTGATAAACAGTGTCAGTTGTCAATCCTCATCTTATTTATTATATCTTATTTGACACATCTGGCCATTCCCTCCTCCTGGAAACAACATCCTCTCTTGCCTTCTAGTATACCACACTCTGTTGGTTTTCTGACAATGGCAATGACTTTCTCAGTCTGTTAGTTTCTCTTCTTTTCTCTGTCTTTAAATGTTGGAATGTCCCAGTTCTTAGTCTTTGGACCTCTTCTCTTCTTCATTTATATCTGAACCATCTTTGCAATGACAGCCTGACCTTTCTCTGGAACTCTAGATTCCTGCATCTAACTGCTACATGGTGTTTCCCTGTGACTATCTGATAGGTGCCTCAAACTTAGTAGGTCCAACTCTTGATCGCCTGGCACAGGTGCTCTACCTGCTGCCTTCCTCACCTCACTTCATGTCAACTTCATCCTTCCAGCTGCTCAGGCTCAAAATTTTGGAATCATACTTCACTTCTCTTCCTCATACCTTACAGGAAATCCTGCTGGGACTCCCTACAAAATATATTCAGAATGTAACCACTTCCCATCAATTTCCCTGC